GCTGGTGTGGTCGGACCGCCGACACCGTGCGGTCCCAGCTGGTGTGGTCGGCCCGCCGACACCGTCCGGTCTCAGCTGGTGTGGCCGGCCCGCCGACACCGTCCGCTCCCAGCTGGTGTGGCCGGCCCGCCGACACCGTCCGGTCCCGCGTGGCCGCCCGCCGACCCGTCCGGTCCCAGCTGGTGTGGCCGCCCGCAACCCGTCCGTCCCGTGGGCGGCCCGCCGACACCGTGCGGTCCCAGCTGGTGCGGCGTCAAGGTCGCTGTTCCGGCTCCAGGAGCCTGCAGTTGCAGTTGCAGTTGCGGAGGCGTCCGGCGGGAGCGGAGTGCCTCTGCGGCCGCCGTGCCGTACGCTGCACGCCTGTGGTGCTGACAGCTAAACCTTGTGTCGCAGTCTGTGATTATGGATGTGGTCGAGTCATCACGCCGAGGATCCGTGATTGCACACAGAACATCTTCATGAAAACTTAGAGAAATGGGGAAATCTCGTCTTCAGGCTGGTAGATAATACATGTTCTACAAGACGGTCTTTTTCTGCTAAATCGAAAGCAGAAAGAATGCACGAATGTCGCGTAATCTAACGTCGCCATAATTTCCATTGACTTGCGCGGAAAGCGTTACACCTGTTCACCAGACGAATAGAGCAAGTGTTGACCCTTCAGCTGCTTCAGAACAAGAGCAATTTTTAAAATAAGTTTGATCCGAACCCTTTGAATGGGTGTATTTCTGGGATCAGCGCTCACGCTAAGCAGTGCTTGTTGTGTGAGCCCTAACCCCCACCATCCGATCGCGCAATTCCAGGCAACGGCAGAATTTAGTGGCAAAAGCCTTACGTGCCGCCATGCTCGGCACGGTCTGTCCTGCCCTCTGACGTCAACTGACCTTTAGCGCGACCGCTGCCACCAGCTGCACGCCATACCTGCCAAGGGCAAATAGCGATCGCCCTAAAGCGACTCAAACTCACCCTGTCACGGGTGGGTGAATCGGAATGCAGGCGCTCTAACCAACTGAGCCACCGGGTCGGACAAATTTGATTCTTATTGTTGTCGGCAATGATTCTTAAGTTGTCATTCGATTGTCACTTCGAGAAGTTAAGATGTTCCGCACTTTGAATTCCCTGCTTGATCGATCCAGCAAATCTAAGCTATCTTCCTGATTTGTTCTTGCATGCGAGAGAAAAAATCCTGGTGTCGTCCCCAGCCTCCTCCTGTTTAAAAACTGACGGATGATGAGAGCATTAACACTAGGGAAGACTCGCTCGCTACTCCCAATTAGTTGTCAAAAAACTGCTTTCGCCTTGATCCACAAACGTGGGAACAGGTAGGGGGGGGGGGGAGGGCTTTAACACAAGGCGAACTCACTGATCATTATTGGTGCCCATGTCAGTAATTTGCGATCGTGATAATGAGAGCATGGTATTTGAAAGCTGACAGATGGCGTAGTCACAAAGGTTGAAGAAGATTTGCTCGTCATTTATAATCCACATGTCAAAGTACTGTTGGCCTTAATTCGAAGTAAGAAGCCGGATAGTGGGTGCTTAAACACAAGGAAACTCCGTCCAATCATTATTTGCGTCGAACTAAACAATTAGTGGTCATGATTATGAGAACGTGCTTCGTCTTCGTCATGCCAGAAGAGTGGATGCAACTAACTTTCGCATATTCGAAAATTTCGGCTGCCAACCGTTGATGGATCACGATACGCTTATGGCTTGGTGAATTTTAGACCGTCGTATGCTTAATCCAAACATTTACCCGCCGTTCACGTCGCGCCACGGTCTGCTACCATGGTCTCAAACATGAATTAATCGGAAACCTGAAAAATCAACGCTTACGTGATACATTTCGTCCGTACCCATCACCCAGTTCTCCAGAGCACCTGCATTCCAATCCACCCACCCGTGCAGCGTGGTGGGTTCGGGTCGCTTCAGGCACTCGCTATTTGCCCGAGACAAGAAGGCCTGCGGCCGTTGGCAGGGGTCGCGCTAAAGGTCAGGTGACGTCAGAGGGCAGAACGGACCGTACCCAACATTGCAGCAGGCATCGGCTAAGTGATGGAAAGTATAACTGGGGTAGTCGTTTCGTACTGGACTGCGTGCTGATCCTGCATTAGCCGCGTCATGCAGGCAGCCTTTGCAAACGGATGTGTCAAGAATGCGCAGAGTCTGGCCAGGACAGCAGAGATGTTATGTTCTGATGCCGCTGTACCATTCTGACTATCTTTGTCGCTTCTCGAGAAGTGTCATCTCCACTAATTTGGGTCGGCCCGCTGCTTCCTCCCTTGCCCAGTAAATAAGAGAAGTGTGGCTTACATGGAGTCAAGCACAGCTTCAGCTCAAAAGTTGGTTCTTAGTTTCAGTAGTCCGCTCTGCCTTGCTGCGGATGTGAATATTGTTTCCAAGTGCTTCGGAATCCCAATATAATAAGAAGGTTTATCAGCACAATGACCGAATAAGCACAAACTGAGCAACTTTCAGCATGGTTTACTTCATTAAACTTGAAAAGAATTTAACCACAAGGTTTAACGTTTAAAAAAAATTGACAACACCTCTCGCCACGCACCCTGACCATGGGCTGTTTTCAACCGGTAGTTTCCGAAACATCGTGGAGGGGGGAGGCGTAGACAGAATGTGGGATGCAGGGAGCACGGCAGGGGGGGGGGGGGGGTCGAAGTGCTGGCTGGAAATCGCTTTCAGGGACCCGGAGCGCAGGGCCCGACCCTCAAGTGCCAATCAGAGGACCTCTCGCGCGGATCGGGATTCTCTGGGACAATGCGTACCTCCACTTGGTCCAGAAACATCCAACACCGAAGAGTCAGCTGCGTAACTGTTTGAGTTCTGGGGACCCATTTCCCCATGCAGGGACAGGACCGGGGCACGCGATTTACATTGGTATCTGTGCCCTGATACTATGCGGGCCGGGGCGGGGGCGAGAGCTGAAACAAAGGTTCAAACAAAGGGGAGCGGGCTGTGCAGGCCATGCGGCATGCTTGCCTACCTTGCCATCCTTGCCTATGTCCTGTGTTGGCAGGAGGACCCGGGTCGGCGAGAGGCATATCTGCTGAACGGGGGCAGGGTCGGGACCCCGAATGCCAGAGGACCTGTCGCTCTGGACGCTTCGAGGTTCTCTGTCTCAGGAAGCAATGAAATGAGAAATGAGAGCTTACGACGAAAGGGTCTGCAGCGAGCTCATGTAAAGACCACGTGTCAGTCAGGGGCTCTAGTACCGAAGGGGTCACCTTCTCCAAATTAGTCCGTGCCTTGATTAGCTGAACTGGAGTCCTTGTGGCAATTAACGGGCCCCCATGTCGTTAAGGGATACTGTTACGTCCTTCACGGCGTCAGCGCCGATCCAGGACCAACTGCTCCCGTCAGGGGGCCTTCCGTATAAGGGAGGGGACCGATGCACCATGTATATGAAGCTCTTCAGATTGACCACCAGGCCACTGACCCGTTTCGTCAGAATGGCGACACGTAGGCACCCCTGGTTGGGGAGGAAGGGCCCTTCAGCCCATGACCCGGAAAGATAATGCGCTTCCCTGTATTCCAGCTACGGAGCCTCTCGCCCGCGAAAGGCAAATGGTCTCCTTAGCGTTTAAGAGAGCGGATCGATGGAGGTTCAAATTTGTTTCCGAGGATGTCAACTCTTTTTCAAGATATCCTAATGAAACACATCGCATCGAAATGTTCTCAACTTAAGCGCTCGCCATCTGTAAGGGGAAGGCTATCGACGTCGGGATTGTAGTTTTTTGTCAAGAAGAACGAGTGGCCACTGCAGCTGACAACAAGCAGAGGGCATCGTGCGCGCGAGAACGACCATGTGTGGTGAGATCATGCCTCCGAAAGTCTTTCGGAATTCATTCCCTACTTATAAATCTTAGACTGCATGGTGTATATTCTTCCCGTAGTTTTTTTTGGTTGTCCTCTGATCTGTTGAACAGTTTCTGCAACACGATAAACAGAGATATCACCATTACGTTAAACGTTCTCAGCACCGTCAATACTAGCATGTTCCTGGTTTCAGTATCCCGGTACCAAGTTGAGAATCGCACGGGTGAAATCACGGCCCGGACTGCCTTCTAAGTGCACGAATTGATGCATTATGGATTTGCACGCACTTCTTTCAGATACGTGTGTGTGTTCTTCCGCCTGTTGGCCGCCGTCAAGTGCTCACGGTGCGGCTAACGCCGCACGACCTGTGAGACTATAACTCCAGGCGTCAGGTTCTTGTTTTAAGACTTACGGGCGTGCGTGGCTGAAACGGCTACACAGTTGTTTCAATGACCCATTTTGAATGAAGGCTGAACATCTTGACTCATGTCACTACATTTTTTTTTACACATTCAAGTCAATAACCAACGTTAAATCCACGTTGTCCTCAATATCTATTAAATCCCGAAAAATTCCAACAAAGCCTCTGAATCCTATTCATTTAGGAAACATACACTGAACCATTTAAAATTCATAGCGCCTGTGGTTTATATGACGCAGTTATTTAATCACTGATGTGTTCAATATGTTGACCTCAATGCACAAGGGGAACCGCATCTTCCTGGGGCTTCTGGCTTCTTTTCTGAAAGAATCATGCCTCTTTGAAAACAAAAACCTTTTTTGGGGAAGGAGAAATCAGCAGCAGGGTCCCCTTAATAATCCTGTGTCGCCCCCATACCAAGACTGGCCGCGCCGCAACGTAGGTGTGACAGATTTCGTTATCTCCTCACTTCCAGGGCGGCAGATTCTCGGGGCACTTCAAAAACGCATTGTAACAACTGCTGCGCTCTTGTGTTCAACCCACTTGAAGCGGTTCCTCAATCCTCAATCCACTCTCCATACGGTAGGAAGCCTGGCGTAGCCCTCTGTTGGGGACTGCTCTCCATGACATCCAAGACACACATCATGTCAAAAGCCAAAATGTGTTTGGGCATTGCTATGATCAGCATTAGGTCCACTTAGTAAGACCATGCAATGAGAGCTACAAGTTCTCTCTTAGGCTTTTAAGTGACCTAGACGCTGTTGGTGGTTCCGGAAGCGGTCAATGGCATTAGCTGGGCCGTGGTATTCCGAAGAAGGTAACGCCCGACCGTCCAAGACAGTGGGCCTGTAGTCCCGGGCCGCCGAAGAAACGTTGTCATCCCCATGCGACCCCGATAGACGAGACTTCGGACACAAATTTGACCTCAGTCGATACAGTTGAACAATAGGCAAGATAAAGCGATGCGATAGTCGCGGGAAGGCCAAGGACGCACAGATCAGGGGATGGGCTGCCGTTTCGTCGCGAGATTTCGCGCTTTGCTCAGCGGTTATAGCGTGTCCGGATTTGTATAAACCTCGTAAGTTTTTGAGCGAAACATTGCTTGGGCCAGACAGGTACAGTTTAGCGCACCGACAGCGCACCGATAGTCAGTTTATAGTTACCGTAAGTTTCGATGGTCACCGATAGTTTAACGCACCGATAAGTCAGAATGAAGGGAAGTTACGTGGACCGAAGACAGAGGCCCAGTGCCATCGGCATATGAGCCAATCATGCTTTTTAGAAGCTGTAACACAGTCTCATTACCTCTGAGAGAAACTCGCTAAATGCATGAGCATTTATTCGTACGTAGAAAGAAAATCACAGCATTTCTTAACCAAGCAGAGCACAAATACACTGTAAAAGGAACCACGCTAATGTATCGCAGCGAATATATGCACGTTAGCGCAGCGTGTTGTTTATTGGCGTGACCAGGACAGCACAGCAATAGAGGCACCGATACACTTCATTGTTCTTCTGTTCTGGGTGCTAGGGGAATCTCCGCATACTGCCATGTTGTACCTTCGGGACACCCGCGATAATAGCACGACCACCCGGAAACTCTACCCCTGCACGGGCTGATAACGCCTTCGCAAGTGCGACACAGCCATTAAAGTGCGCCGGTTATTGTGCCTTATCTTTGCGTCCAAAGGCCACGCAATGCACCCAATCCCCGGCGAATTTCACAGCTGCTCATTAGACACTGCATCGTTCACTGAGAACACCCTGAGTTGCACACTCAATTAGCGGGGTGCTAACAATGCCTTCTCAAGCAGACATTACTCGCTCTGTGTATTCGGGAAAACCTCCGTTGTCCGCTCAGGGGCGGACAATGTTTGCAGAGGATATCACGCAGCTTCTGCTTAGGGCGGTGGAGATCTGGCGCTATCCTCTCAGAAAGTAGAAATGCCTTGCTGTTCTCTCAGGGAACAGAAATACCCTAACCTCTCACCTCTCAGGGGATCATACGCTTTGTCCTCCTCTTAGGAGACGGAACTCAGCACCGTGCTATCAGGCGGCGAAGATTTCGCGCCGCCCCCTCAGACAGTGGAAACACCGACACCGTTCTCACAAGCCTTGTAGACACCGGCACTGTTTTCACAGGCGACGGAGACCGCGTGATGACCACTCTAAAGCCATGCAACAGCCCCCCCCCCCCCCCACTCAAGTGGTGGCCGGGCGGCGCAGCCCAAACCGGCTGGCCAGCTCGCGCAGCAACAGCTGCTTTTCCACTCGCACCCCTTGCTGCACGAGCCGCGACTCGGCGGCGCGCCGCGACAGATACGGCATCACCGTGGTAAATTCGCCGAACGGCACCGCCTTAAAGACGCGGTGACCAGCGCGTCCCAGCGGCACCGTCAGGTAGTCGGCCATGCCGTAGATCTGGGCGAAGGCGAGGCCACCGCTGAAGGGCACCACGCCCAGCCGGCGCGCCAGCCTGCAGGAGAAGCGGCCAGACTGGGTTAGCTGGATTTGACATGGTTGGCAGGAAACGTGGTGGTAGGCGCTACTAGCGGTAGCAGGTGAAGTTGCGATCAGCTAGAACTGACGACGTCGTGGCTAAGCGCATGAAGTCGTGCATGGACAGGTGAGTTTGAGGACCGAGGGCTGGTTCATGTTACCGGGAGAGGTGAGTTTGAGGACCGAGGGCTGGTTCATGTTACCGGGAGAGGGTGGTGAAATTATGCGAGCGCGAGCCCAGCACTGGCCCAATCCAGCAGTGTGATGCTGGCGCATTAGCTTAATGATGACGCCCCACAGCCTTGCATCTCTATGGAAACGCCATTGTACTATTTCAAGCCTTGTCTCCCACTCAATGCGAGAACCGGTAAACTGACCCGAGCGCGTGCAGGATGGACTCGTGGTTGTGCGTGGCAACCATGATCTGGGTGCGCCCACCGTCCTCCGCCACACGTCGCAGGGCAAACTCCACAGCACTGGAAATCCGTCATTAACATCGACGTTAATAGAGCGATCCACGACCAAAAAAAACAGGGTATAAATGCTCACAACTAAGCAAGACACAGGAATGCGAGGAAAAAGGTGCCCACCATATGCAGCTGGCCTGTTTGCCCTTGCAGCTTGCCTGCCGAGAAGAGGTGACACCAGTCGCTGCGAGTCCTCGCCTAATGACCAATACTCCGCTATGTTAGAGCTTAGGAGAAGTCCCTGCGAGTATTGCAGTAGCTCACCGCGTATAGCTGAGCGTGGTCGCCTCATAACTGTCGCAGACGGGGCTGGCACGCCCCTCCTGCTGCGCCAGCTGTCGCTCACGCGCCATGTACGCGCCGCGCACCAGTTTCCCGCCAAAACATGCGCCCAGCTGCTGACAGATGGCGTACTCGCGCTCCAGGTTAGCTGGCGTCGCCTGGAGACAGAGGCCCGCGGACGCTGTCACCGAGTGTGAATCACCAGCGCATGCAATCGACTGCCGGTGAGAGCTCTCACGCCTGTCAGGAACAGCTTGGGTGTTGGACCTGAGTCCTGGTCTTGTGGCCGCGCTGGTAGGTACCCCCAGGGATACACAAAATAATTCACGATAAGGAGTGGGTGAGCGTGGGGTGGATATATAATTAGCATTTACCATAGGTGGCTCCTGACAGAAAATCAAAAATTCGCATGATGAGCTCTCACCGAGCTCAGGCCCTCAGGCCCTCCCGAAAATATGCAAGGTGACACCCCTGCTAATGACTTCATTTACACTGGTGGGCGCCGGCACACGTTTTGGTCACTCTGGTGGACGCCGCCAATGCTGAGTTGGGATGATACCCACGTCAAGTGCTGACGCTGACCCGGGGCATACCTAGTGCATGCCCTCCGCCGCTGCCTTTGAGCCAGCACTGGAGGGCGCCCTGACGGTGAAGTCCGTGGAGCGCTAGTGTGCATCGCTGACGCTGACCTTGAGGTAGCACTGGTGGGTGCCCCTGATGAAGGCCTCCCGCTGGTTGAACACCGCCATCAGTGCCAGCGTCAGCCAGGAGATGGCCGGGTTTGTGTAGGTGAACTCGCCGTCCACAAACATCAGCATGCCGCTGTCTGCGCAGGCCTCGCCTGCCGCCCAGACGCTTGGTTACAAACGCGGGAGTGTGGTGCGGCTTTGAGGCTGCCGTCCGAGCGCACTAGTCTACACGAGAGATGGAGATAAATAACCTATAAATAAAGGCCGTGCACTGATGTGACAAGCAAAGCGACGTTGCCTGACCTACATATGAAGCCTACTAATTGCATGATGTCTTTTTCGTGCATGAAAAGTCGTCCGTCATCTTTGACATGCATGGGAAAAGAATAATGCCGACAACCATGAGTGGGTTGTCCACCTTTTGTGGTTGGTATATGACACGTGTATTCGACGGAATCCTCGAGCATTCGTTTTACATCTAACTGTTGACAAAGCTCAGGAACAACTTCTGGTTCCCCACATCTCAGGAGATGTGATTCATGCTTGAATGGGGTGACAACTCCCAAAATTATTCATCCACACATGAGGTAAACTATCGATTAGGTTTGTCGATGCTTCGTATTGGCAAAACGAGCCCCAGGTCAACGCTCGCCGGGGTGATGAGTGGCAGTCAAACCTGGGATGAATGAAACATTACGCAAGGAATGCCAGCCCAGTCGCTTTAACGTACCCAGCGTCTGCAGGCGGCGAACGCACGAGTCCCAGGCGTACTGCTGTTCTGACGTCAAGCCTGGTACGCTGACCTGACCTGATGTCACCATGGCGTTCGCTAACTGCTCGACTAGACTGGACGGGCTCTCGCTGGAGGAGAATACCCGCGAGATATGCACCTGTCGGAGTCGGTGCGGGTGAGGGATTAGCAATATTGCTGGATCATTTGAGCGGGATGCACGAGCTAAATAAATGGCGCCTTTGTTTCTATCTTTATCTTCTGTATGAATAAATTCCCAAGCAAAGTGAAACGCAGATCAGCAGCTGAGACACCATTTAAATCCAATCCACGTGAACACAGGCTCATAAACTGCCACTGTTCTCACTCTCATCACTGTTATACCCAATTCACGTTCACATTTAGCAGAGCTGGCGGTACGCGGTGCCGCCCTCACCAGCAGGTCGGCGTTCAGGTGAGCCGTGAACTTGGCCTGGAGGGCCGCCTGGTCCTGGCCGGCCGTCACCTCTCGGACGATGGTCAGAACCCGGAGAGCCTCCTCCAGGTTAGCCTCCAGCTGCCGCTCGCTGCCAACACGTCATCTCAGGTTAGCCGCCAGCTGCCGTTCACTGCCAACACGCCCTCCGTTAGTCCTCACCGAAGACGCAAAACGTTAGACGACAGATTCACTTGCTAAGGCATAGAGCCGCTGACAGCAAAGGTTGCATACGTTCAAATATTACCACCTGCAATTTTAAGGACTTGCTACGTTTTTGAGCACGCAATACAGTCTCTTCCTGCTTTCAAGATCAGTCTCACAGCAAACAGGAAGATTTCGGTGAGGCGCGCGCTTGGAACCATGTGAATCTGGGGGACGTTACTACCGATCACCGTAGCAGGCCCTCTGCCTCGTTCTTCCCGGTCCGACACCGACACTGGTCAGCAACTCCTCCGTCCTCTCCCCGGTCCGACACTGATACCGGTCAGTAACCCCTCATCCGTCCTTTCCCCGGTCCAACACCGACACCGGTCAGTAACCCCTCCTCCGTCCTCTCTCCTGTCCGACACCGACACCGGTCAGTAACCCCCTCCTCCATCCCCTTCCCCCACGCATGCACTAGCATCTACGGTCTCTTCCCTCGATGAGGCATCCATCCTCCTTCACAGTCCGCAACCGTCCCCTCATTTCGCCTCATCCCACGTGACGGACTCTGCTCCAAGGGGCCAGCAACTCCAGTCCGACAGTGGTCTCGCGTGAGGGGCGCCGTCACTGCCGAGCCCGCCCGCTCACCTGGCTGCCTCCTCGTCTACGTCGGCCTCAAGCATGCTGGTCAACATCAGCTGGATGTTGTCGCGCTGCAGCGTGGCGGCCACCTGCGCCAGCTCGCGCTGCTCGGCACCAGCCACGAAACTGCCGGTAGAACGGCTGCGCCAACAGCTGCAGCAGGCGTGAGCCCAGCAGCCGTTCGCCCAATCGTAGCAGCTGTCGGTGGAGAACCAGCGCCCAGTGATTGGCTGGTTTAACGATATGCTCATATATTATATATATATATATATATATATGCATATATATGTATATATATATATATATATGTATATATATGTGTATATATTATATATCTATATATATATATATATATACACTGTGACCGTCCGTCGCATGGCTTTCGCTATGTCCTGACAAAAGTTGTTTGGCACCCACTTAAACCGTTTGAGAGTGCGGGAGGGGATGTGGTAGAGGTGATGTAGCCGCTAACTGCGCTAGACGGAGGGTCTCACCACTTTCATCGCGCTTTAGTTCATTAGGCGAGTGCACGCTGTTCTGCCGTCGTATGTTGGTAAGATTCTCTTATGGCGATGAGTTCAGCATATGATGTACGGAAAATCGTCGAAACGTACAACTTAATTTGAGAGTGAGTGAAGCTGTTGTGAGGAGCATAAACGACACGAAAAGCGCGGCTGCTATTAAAGGATGCGATTACAACTGAGGTCGCTTTGCGATTGCGCCACAAAGGAACGATTTGGGAGACACAAGCACTCAAACGCAACATGTTAGCGCATTTTCTTGATAGGCACGTTACTTTGCACCTGCTCCATACATGCCACTTCTGCTCATTGCATCTACATTCTGGGGTGCTAACGTAGATGCATAATGTTCAAAGCGAATGTTTCGTATTTGGAGATATTAAATGCAAGTATCAGATGTGATGAAACAAACTCACTTATAAAAATTGGCATGCTTTTTAAGTGGAAAAGACTGCTCTAGGCGGCACAATACTATGCTTACTTAATATACTCCTCAACAGGTCATGGTTTGATTACGTCATTGTACCTCGCAAAAATTTATCGAAACCCAATTGAAGGGCTGTTTTAACTGGAAATCGTGCTCACGGGCGTCAGATATGAACACCTCGACGGTTATATCTTTCTTGGCGTTGGTTGCCGCATGGCTTTCGGAGCGACAACATTTGAGTGACATTATTATGACGTTATAAACACCAAGGTGGACATTTAAATGCTCTTCCCCATACACCTTTCCCCATTTTCTCGGGCGTGTAGCTCGGAAACTTGAGGGGCTTAGGTCTTAACAAGGACATGATTGCCAACAGCATGGAAAGGTCTTCAAGGTGGCCATTTCAGCCCAAAACCACACATAAATGTGAAGCCCCTTCTTTAATATGCCGACGTGTTCAGCCAGTCATCACAAACGCATGACTTTTCTCGCCCACATCATCACAGCTACGTTGAACAAGATATTACTCACCTGTAGACTATTGTCAACGATTCGGTCAACGGCACACACTTGATAGATGGCCAGCGTCCGCAAGAGGCTCCGCGTGGGGCGGGCCGAGAAGACGTCCGAGCGGACCTCGAGTTCGGGCCTCTCCTGTTCCGCCGCGCCTCTGACGCCCGGAGCGCCCTGACGCGTCTCCAGCTCCAGGCGCTCCTGACCGGCCACCCCTCTGACGCTCTGCGCCAGCGACGCCCGCGCCCCGGTCAGGCGAGCCAGGCAGACGCGGTTCATGGTCCGTCCCCTGATCCTGATGGTCCTGACCGCCCAGTGCACCGCTCGGCACGAGCTTAAGGCTCACTTCCCGCTGCACCCAGGCTGCGGGCCTTTTGCAACTCTATGTCAGAGCGACCTAACCTGATTCGAAAATGTGTCGTTTGGTCGTTAACTTGTCCGAAGGTGGGCCCTGCGCCAGGCCCGGGCCTTAGCTGTTGACTTGAGCAGGATGCTCCACGCGACCCTCACACAACACAGGACTCCTCCAGAGTGCAGGACTCTTGAGCGGGACGCGGCGTCCAGACCATGCCCGGCCTCGCCTCGGAAGAATCTGACCACAAACAGCAAGCTGCGCCTCATGTGGTCTGTCGCTGCTCCGCCGTCAAGTAAACAGTTTGTGCACTAAACTGCGCGGTAGCCCGGCTGCTGGCCGCGACTGGAGATGTTTTGTTAATTTCATTCCAGATAAATCTGGGTCGGCAGAGCCAAGTCTCACGACAAAATGCACCGAATGTTTATAATGTCCGGCAATATCCGGTATAATCCGGACTGACTGCGCTTCAGAGAGCCAATGGCTTTGTGAACATTGGTATTGACGGAAACGCGCGAAAATAACGGATCTTCGCGCTGATGTGTGTTTGTCACGGACTACGCCAGTGCTATCGCTAGGCTTGAAAAGTAGGACTTCGCAGTTAAGATGAATATAAGGTGATGCGATTATGTCCAGACACCGTCCATAATACCCCAAGCGCGATGACACCCCATTCACGAATCAGTGTGTCCGGAACGAACAACAGTCAGGATACCAATCTGAGTTTGGCCAATCACGCCTCCAGCACACATGTTGTGGACAACCGTTTCGCATTCAGAAGGAACACAAAAACACTCGTGTTTGTTGCCTCTAACCTGCGACCGTTTCAGGGTTAAACATAGCCCTAGCCGAGTTTCTGGAATGATATCCGAGCCGTGCAAAACGGAGGAACTAAATTAGGATGAGTGATTGTATCGCATTTTTTGCTGCAAATTTGTGCTACAGTTGGGGCACGTAGCTGGCTGTGATGTTATGAACATCAGCCTGCGCGGTTATTCTTGCCTCCACGCGCGGCAATTCGAAGTTTCCTTGCTTTCTTGGTCTCGGGGATGTACTTTCCAATTTAAATGTGATGAAAGGGGGAGAGGGGGGGGGGGGGGGTCCAGCCCTTCTCCACCAACTGTGAGAAGGAAGTCGGTCAAATCCGTGGGGAAACGCGTTCTTAAGCGCCTTTAGGATGATGCCTAACCATTTTTTGTGCTTGGACCCCGAGCTTATTTTCCGAAGTCCCATCCTGGCCCAACTGGCACATCCACCATAACACATGCGTCACGGGAGCTGGCAACCGCGTCCGATGCTCTCTCGTGGCACATTTTCGTGACAATCAATGTAAACAGTGTGGCGAAAACGTATGTCAGCTCTGATGACCACACTTGTTTAGTTACGCATGCAAACTTTTGGCCAAAGACAATGTTATGATGTCGTCCAAGTTTCCACTTAACAATTGTCTGCGACAGGCAGCCGCGCGATTATACATCACGGGAGATAATGTCCTCCAACACATTTGGCCATAAACGCGTTCATGAAAACAATGCCTGCAGTTTGCTACGCAACGCAACGCGATTATTCTGAACGAGCACCAACCATGTGTTAAAGGGCGTCAATAATTCACATTTTCTCTCAGAACCATCTGTCCTGGTGAAGATTTCGCGGCAATGTGTTGGACGACCCATATTCTGCGCAAGGAAAGGCGGCAAACCTTCAATCTCGAAGGACACAACATGCTTTCCCTGCCGCCCCGAATGAATCCTGGAATAGATCATTAGGTGTACCCTACCCTTCATACATATGCCCTTCATACATGTTGCTGAGAATGTAGCAATAAGCTAGAATATACATACAAACGATAGCTACCATCTCTAAGCAATGTATGGGCTTGAAAACGATGGCGCGCATTCTTGCACCGGGTCAATATTTGTTTTATTTTTAGAAGTATGTTTACATCCACGAGCAATGCTCCTACCTATTCTGACCTATACGCTAACCGAGACGCTCCCCCACCGAGCTCACACCTAAGTGCTCTGCCAGTGACGCCAGCTTGAATGATAGATGATGCCACCTCTGCCGTGCAGATCAATGCTGACGTCATGGCAGGCTGTCCGCCGCAATGTACGGCTACCCTGCCGACAACGTCGGTAGTCTGCCAGCGAACGGCAGCTTAAAACACCGCACGTGTGTACGACAGGCATGGTATGGTATGAGGCGCAGCCTTGAAGCACCGATGACTGCCACGTAAGCTTCACGGAACTGATACACTGATAAAACATTCGAGGTGAAACGTCTATCCTCTTTTTGGCGCTATTTAAAGGTACCATGAACTATAAGTTATTGTTCTTTTCACAACTGCCTGCCGACACCGCTTATTTCGTTGTTGTAGAATTAGCATGTAACGCAGCTAATTCCATGGCACGACAGTCAATCCTCTTTCACTAAGGCAATGTCCTCGCCCTTTCAGCAGGATACCAACGATTGCATTGTTATTTCCACGCCTGACACGCCCTCTGCACGACATGCACGGGACGCATCCCGCCATGGTAAACACACCAAGTCTGCTGAATCCCACAAGGCATGCGCCTCCATTCATTGAGGCTGATCCGTCGTAAGCCCTCCCTCCACCTGGCCTTTCGCTTTCGCCCCAGCCGCATATCAAAGCGGCCGAACCAATTAGCGTTTCCTGCCGCGACGGCACGCGTTATGAGGACGGCAGGGCGCCAGTGCGGGGGGTCAGTGTCGAGGCGGCCGGCTGCGGGTGTCGCTCGCTCCTGCACCGCAGACGGCTGCGCCTCTGCCTCTCTGAGCGCGCCTGCCACCAACGGGCAGGACTGTCGAGCCAACAGCCCGGCGGCCGAGCGGGGCGTTTGATCGCGCTGGTCTGCGCTGGGCCGGGCGTTCACATCTCCAGCTGGAGTCAGAGTCGTGTGAGTGTGGGGCTGTGACTCCAGCCGTGCCCGTTAGCATTGCAAACGTCAGAAGCTCTACAGCATGCGCCGGTACCTTCTGCTAGCGCTGCTGCTATGCAGCGGGGCAGCGCCACCAGCTGCTGCCGGCCCCAGCAGGACAGCCAGCCGCTGGCCAGCGGGTCCCAGCTGCTGGCCAGCGGGTCCCAGCTGCTGCCGGCTCAGCAGGACAGCCAGCCGCTGGCCAGCGGGTCCAGCTGCTGCAGCAGGCCAGCGACCAGCAGCAGGCAGACGAGCAGGCGGACCAGCAGGCAACCTGCAGACGGACGTCGTTTTCGGAAGGTTGCGTGGGCGTGGAGAGACACCGCCGCTGATCATTCCTGCGGGGCTCAGCTCAGCGCTCGGAAACGGAGGGCTACCTAGTGCAGGTCAGTCCAAGGCCCCGACACCAATCCGGCGCTGGATACACTCGAGCTGGCAGGGGAGAAGGTTGGAGACCAGGACAGCTGGCACGCAGACGATGCCTCCAGCTGGTATCAGCGGAACTGGCACGGAAGCGACTGGAACAACTGGCACCAGGGCGACTCTGGTCTCAGGTCGCGAGCGCAGGACCCTTGGAAGAGCGCCGCCCGAAGCTCAGAGGGCGCTCTGCAGCCTCCACGTCCGGATCCCCGGGAGCCCGGTGAGTTCTGGTATCACGTGCTCGCGTACCCGGGAGGATTTCGGTTCCGGAGCCAGTCAAAAGGCGGGCTGGACCCACTCAGAGATGATCCGCTTCTGAACGCCATCCGAGAGGACGTCAGACAGTTCCGCGAGAAGCACGGCGGTTCCCCGCCGCCCAGTGACCACGACCAGCAGCGACATTACGACGACCCTCTCTGCGACACGTGTGGCCGTCCCAAGCATCAGCATCCCCTTCCGCCAGAGGACTTCTGGAAGAAGAAACACGACTCCGTGGTCCACGACCATCGGTCCAAGCAGCCGGCGGACAGCTCCTCTTACGACGATGCTAGAGACCACCACCCGGTGTCCTACCACCCCGTGCTGGACGTGGTTCGGGGTGGCATCCACAGCGCCGCTCCACCCCGGACACCGCCGGAGCTCTGCCCGGACCACCACTCCTGCTCGCCGCTCAGCTGGTGGCGCCGCGACACGCGCGCCAGCCGCTCCTGGCGTGAGCGCGGGCTGCTTCTGTGACCCCGAGTGCGCGCGCCTACGGCGACTGCTGCCGCGACGCGCCGGCAGCGGCCGCGGTGCCCGGGGCCTTCTCGTGCCGCCCGGCCGTGCCGCTGACGCCGCTGCCCGCCGCCGCAGCGCCGCCGGGCCACTGGTACATGCGCGACGCCTGTCCGCGCGGCCGCCGCGGCGCACCGGCTCTGTGAGCGGCCGGCCTCTGCGCGTGTGGACCCGCTGGCCGCCCTGCCGGTGACCAGCCGCGACTCGGGCGTCACCTACCGCAACGTGTACTGCGCCATCTGTCACGGCGACACGGCGCGGCTGGAGTTTTGGCGCGTGCGTGCCACCTGCCCAGCCGTGTCCGAGTCGCTGGACGCGGCGGCCGTGCTGGCCGGGGCTGCGGCCGTCCGTCGGCGACGGCTGGGCGCTGCGCCTGCGTTCTGGCGCGCTGGCCACGTGCGCGCTGACCCCGCAGCCCCCGGCCGGCCTGTGGCCGCGCGCCTGCCGGCCGGCCGTCGCCTCCTGCTCGCCGGACGCCGACCCGGAGCTGCTGCGGCTCTGCCGGAACCACACCGCGGTCATCTACAGCGGTGGGCGGGCCTACCGCAACGTCTACTGTCTGCGCTGCAGCGGCGGAAGGGTACAGGAGGCGCAATGTAGCGCGCCGTGCGAGGATCCAGAGCTAGCGTCCCCCGTGCGTGGGCTGATGGTGAGACTGGAGCTGGTGATTGGCGAGGATCTCCGTTGCGGGGTCACTGACGTCTGGGACCCGTTCATGCGCGCCTGCAGGAGTACGGTGTGTGCCCTGCCCGGCGAGAAGCTGGTGAGGGGTCGATGCACCAGCGACCTCGAGC